GCGTACAGCAGATTGAATTTTTGCAGAATGTCAACGCACAGCAGTAAGAGCCCTATTTCAGTGTAAATAATGATTAACTGAAGGAAACTTCATTAAATCAACCTACAGGGAGAAGAGGGGAGAGGAATTTGGCGCGAATTTGTCGTGATTAAAACTAGCTACCAAATTACCACGGTCATTCGAGATTGACCACATGGTCTAGCTGGTTACACGGGTCGGGTTTCTCTCGCCGTATGTAGGCCCCTCTTAGGTTTAGTTTATTATTTACCTTATTGGTTTAATTTTAGTTTAAGTCCAGTTTAGTTTTTAGTTAAGTTAGTTTACTTTAGTATATAGTAGTTATTTAAGTATTTTTATATAACATTAGCGGTATCTAACTAACTAAACTAAAAACAACAAAACTAAACGTAATCACAGGACGAAGGGCAATGAGTATCTAACGTGGACGATCAACTTAACTTTTACCAAAAATCTACTACTGTTGAGTTTTTTGCTGTTTTTAGAAAACGCAGGGATCCTGCGATCTTTATGCAAATATTGTACTTTAATTGACCAAATGCTGCCCAAAAATTCAGTTGGTATCTGGGGTACTTGGAACACCTGGTTATAGGGGCAGCTTAGTGGGCACAGTAAATTAATGAAACTACCAGGTGTTTGTTCTGAGCTGGGGTCAAACCGCGGTCACTCCCTTCTCAAAATTCACATAATATGGAGCCAATTCTGTTAGTCTGTCTTAATAAATACCTGTTTTAGCTACAAGCTCTCCGGAAATCAAAATGCAGTACGGTTAAGGTCTCAGTAAATGTCAGCCAATTTTCTGAAATGTGTTTTCCATTCCAAAAAAATTATCTTAGTGTATTGTACTACTAACTATTCTCCAACTTTATCCCTGGATATTTCAGTCCTATCAGAACGCCGGTTCCTTCCGGCCTCCTGCAAAAGCCAGACTGTGTAAATGACTACTCGCGCAGTACACTTTTTTTCAACAATTTTCAATGCCTCTATATCTTTAAATATATTTTAATAGAAAAAAATGCACACAAATATGTATTCTTTATTTTGCTAGTGCGTTAACAAATTAACGATTTTTCAAATTTCATACTTGAAAAAAGTCTATCTTGTGGTCTTAAAAAGTTTGTATCTAGGCTACTTTTTAAGACTGGAAACTATCCATCTATTAAAGCATCGACTCTGCCCAGGAATTAATGCCGCTTAGTAAGCACACAACATAGTCCTCATTCAATACGAAATTAGATGAGCACTAAGTCATGTCTTCCTCGTAGAGCAGGTGAATATGTGAATTTCCTTAGACTAAAATGCTTATAAAATGTAGTTTGGAAACCCTGAATTTAGACGTTACGGCAGGTCACGTTCAATATTACTCGGCTCTTTGACATGCAGCGAAATTACATATAGTAGCCTTCTCAGTGTCAACTACAGGGAAGT